AAACTAAAAACTACTTCCAAAAACATTCAGCTTTGATATTAATGAGTTTTTTGGGTTCATTGAGAACATGGTTGTTGTTCAATAATAAAATTATTTCTCAAAAATACAACTTGCCTAATAATTCTGCACTCCCTGTACAGTGGTTACTGATTTTCTGCTATTTCAATACTGTTGTGCCCATTTTCAAGAAAAAAACAACAACACATAAACAGAAAAAAAGAAGAAGAAGAAACCTAGTGGAATCAGTGACACAGAGTGAAGTGTATTTGCATTTGACCAAAGACCAAAACACTTAATAGTGTGAGGTGAGACTGTGGCACATCTAAAGGGAGCAGATGCTGAATCTTTGCTTAAAATGGATCATTTAACATGCACTGCTACATTGTTTTAGAAGCTAAGGTGGGTCCAGGTTCGAATCTGACCCACGGCCCTTTCCCTTCTTTCTCTCTCCCTCCGCTTTCCTGTCACTTTTCACTGCAACTAGCAAATAACGCCGGAATTTTTTTTAAATCCAACTGTATTAAGATGTCAAATTTGCCAGCTTCTTTATTCCCTTTTTAACTTTTAACTGCTTTATAGTTAAAAGGTGCTTTTATATATGTAAAAATGCTAACAGGAACAGCTGCCTAGTAAGATCCATTATCTAACTTAATGGTTGCAGCTATTGTCAAAAGAAAAATAATCCTGCTGCTTAGAAACACAGTGTTTTAACTCACACCCAGGGAACTGCTGTTGTTAATATACTAGTGAGAATTATAACAATTACATTAGACAGATTTTTTCGGTAGCCTTGGACTGTGACTATGTAGTCTCAGCCTGCCTCGCTAGCACAAGCCCATCTCTGCAGGTCAATGTGAAACAATGCCTTTACCAGCAGTTCCCTGGTAAGTTGTGAAAAGCCACAAAAACAAACTTGGTTCAAGACAGCTGTAATCAGGAGGTGAGAGAACTGTGAGCAGATACAGTTTTTTGTAAGGTTTTCATATAAGACCTATTTTTGCACAGTTGGCCAACATTTCTGTAAAAGAAAAAAGATTCCCTTAGCTGGCAACACAATCAGGGACTATTTCTCACCCGGTTGCATCTCATTGCAACCAGATTGTGTAATCCAAGAGTTTTGCTCAATTTCATAATAATAATTCAACTGGACAAGGCCTGTGATTCCAACCATATGCAGTAAGAGGGTGTTGGAAGGGAGGTTTAATTAGCAGGGTGTGTCAGCTTGTATAAATGCATTGGCTCAGGGGAAAAGGTGAAAAAGCTGCTAGCTCTAGTCTATGTGATGCTACGTGAGCAAGACTCCAGCTACCACTAAAACTACATAAAGCAGTGCGAGGGACTTTTCTTATTCACCTCATCATGCAAGAACAGTGTAAGTTGAGAAGAGATTAAAGTGATAAAATCTTTCCCTATTCTGGCCTCACTGACTCCTCTTACATCTGCGCAAAACATTTCTTTGTGACGCATGACACTGTACTGACAGAAAAGAACCACAGACATAAAAAAAACAACTAAATCTTTTTTTTTCTTTTAATATTAAATGATTTGGAGTAAAGTTTGGAGAGTGGAAGCAGATGGAGCAGGACTTTTTAACCTAATGAGTAGTTCTAACTTAGGTTTAGCTGTTATGGGCACAACATTTGGTAGAGAAAGCTGGATGTTTATTGGCATCATGTAATGATCTTTGTAGGGGCAATGAGCAAAGTTTATATGCAAACAAAGGCCGATGTGAGATTAATTTTTTTTGGTCGTCCCGTCCAGCTATTGACAAATGGCGAGAAAATGCTGTGTTCACTGTGTTCTAGTTCTTACACTTGAATTACAAAATGCATCATACCTCCTTGTTTTCTCACTGTGGGAAACAAATGAGAAGGCTGCCACAGCGTGCAGCGCTGATGTTCTGTGCCAAGAGATGTCTGGCCAAAAGCAGAAGGTGGTCCTTCCATTACTTAGACAGCGTCGAGACTGTTCTGTTATATTTACCTTGAGGCGGTGGCGATCAACGGGAACAGAACAGGTTAAACAAAGAGTGACCAAAGCCGCTCCGAGGGCCACACATCTGCACTGCATCCTGAGTCCAAGACCACAGTCTGCATTTCAACTTCCTGCCCAACACACAGAGCGGGCTCATAAATGTTCCTGGGACACTCACATTACAACACATTGGTGAAACACTCAGAGGACAGGATGTGGAGCATGTGCTCACTTCTCTTTCAGAAACATTTACTTGGGAGTTGATGACAGTAGAACGAAACCACTGCAACAGTGAACCTTTGAGTAAATGGTTTAAATTGTTACTGCACAGCCTCACATAGAGCTAAGCACCGACTTTATTTTTTCAACCCTGCAGTTTGCTGCTTGGAAATGAAATCTGCAGTGGGACACAAACACACATTTCTTTTGTACTTTCATACTAGGGCTGCTCAATTAATCGAATTTTAATCACGATTAC